GGCAGCGCAAGCACATGGATGACATAAGCCACTAGTACGAAACGTAGCAGGCCTATTATTACCTGTAGCTGTTACCATCCCTCGGTGGGAACAGAGTAGGGGAGTGGACGCCACGGTCCCCGCACTTCAAAAACATTCACGTTAGCCCTCTCCGTACGCTCCACCCCAACTTCTCGGACTTCATACGCCACGAGCAGCATCGAGTACCGTGTACATTTTCAGAACTGGTGCATCATAATGTACAGGTTGTGGGCGTAGCCCGAATCCATTTGCGCCGACGCTGATCTGTGCCGTGTTAATTACGTGCCGAACGAGCATAAATAATTAAGCCGTTGCTCTGAAGTCGACGCCAACCGACCGATGGGCCAGTTCGCCGAGGGTCAGGCCCGAGCCTTGCCTTCTAGTCTGACGAGGTAGTATAGCGCAGATAAGATTGCCCCGTGCGAGGCTTCGCTAAAAAGCTTGCGCTCATTTTCGCTTAGAGCAGGAGCAAACGTCAATGTTGTCCAACTGCGAGGAAAATTGCATCATGACAGTTTTTCGTTACTGCGAGGAAAATTGCATCATGGCGATTTTCCGTTATACGTCGTGTCTAGAATATATTAGAAGGCAGCCTATCACACTCGAACGCGCTCAAAGTTTAGCAGCGGCACCACTAGGGAAGGCAGGGTCACGCATGTGTTTCGCCAATTACATGATTGATGAATTGAGGTGTAAAGTGCTCCGATATCAAAGATAATTTAGCCCCCATAACTGGTGTCAAGAATTGCAATATTTTGCGACTATAAAGGAGAACAACCTTTGAACGACCTATTTGCAGCAACATCGCAGACAAATCACATCCACAATGTCCATGCCACTCACAAAACCGCGCGGCGAATGGTCAGTGGCATGCGGAAGTGCGATTGGCCGTGGTGAATGCGTTGGTGGTGGTTTGGAGTTCTAAGCCGCGTTGACTGAACATGGCCATGCCGCTGCTGAATGTGTCGGTCGCGGTACGTGGTGCTAACGCCATATGCAGTGTGACTGAGTTATCTGTTTACGCCATGCCAAAACGGTCGTGTTATCTACCGATTATTTGTTCGCTGTTTGCGTGTTCGTGTTTTATGTTCTGATTGTAAGTGTGTCAGCTGCCATCATGAGCTGAAGAGCTAGACATTGCTTTTGATAATAAAAGATGTCGATGCACCCAAAACCCGATACACGATGTACCCGAAACGTTTGACAACGGAAATGCATGAAGACGACGCATGTCTCAAAGCGAGTTAACTTCTAACGTAACAGACGATGTCAACAATAGCTTCCAAACGATTAAAAGCTCTAACCGGAAGATGTCTTTGGCGCAAAATTCCGCGCATTTTAATGACCCTTGTCAAAGTGAGATTATTCTGCCAGTGTGCTTATTCCAAGCGATCCTGATCAATTGCAGCTGTATTGCATAACTGTAAAGGTATTTTAAGACTATTTAAATGAACATTTGGACCTTAGGTAAGGCATAAATGCGACGAGTGTGTCGTTTTTATTTTAATTTGAGCACTCTCGGGTTTGGGTACATGTTGCATGACGTACTTTTCTCTTGGTATAAAGCCCATAATCCTACCTGTGCCTGCTTTCTTGTGCTGGGCTACCTAGAAATGAATATAGAGATGTTGTAGATGTATTTGCAGACCTGACGCGTTAAAATAGAATTGCGCGCCTATGCCCGTGGCGGATCCAGGGGGGGGGGGGCATGACCCCATTCCCCCCCCCCCTGGCCCGGAAGGGCACTCAAATCTTGTGGTGAGAGGGCCCCAAAATCCTCATTTCGGGTACACACAACCTTTATTTTCAAGACGCGCAGAAGTCCAGGGGCACCCCAAACGGTCCCAAATCTGAAAGTTCAACACAAAACTATGAGACAATTGACCTCCACCTTTAAATTAACTAAATCCGGCGGACCATTCCGGTTAAGACATTCGATCGGCCAAAAAGGAAGAAACTGAAAGCCAATTAGACGTACTCCGCTGACTTCACGTAAATGGGAATTTCGACGCACTCAGCTGCTGAGACTATATGCCTGCCTCCTACAATAGCCAGGAAGGGCGGGGACCACGGGGATTCGGACCGCATACCTCTGGTTTCCTAGATGCACAGTGGTTAAAGCGGACGCATCAACCGCTACACTACCGGCACCTTAAACCACCCTCCTCAAATCAAATGTCAATGTTTGCCTATGTCATCGTACCTTGCACAACGTTGTATGGGTTAATTGGCGGTCGTTATATCTAGAAATCATTCTCCCGAACGCAAGATATGAACGACTTGACCCTTCTATTTTCCTTTGCCTTCATCGCAGCATGGGTGATGGAATGACAGGATTTAAATGATGTTATATGGCGTCACGGACGCCTGTGTGTGACCTTGGAAGTCCACCTGAAACAGTCTGCTCAATTCGCGGACGTGTAGCTGAGAAACCGAGTAGCTGTAGCTGTCGTAGCTAAGTGGGTTTTAAGTTCTGAGAACAGCAGGGCTGCTAACTGCACTAATGATCTCCAAGATGGCTATTTCAGTTCAGAATCCAGAACAACAAACGTGGAATACTCTGCAAACGTTTGGTCAACAGCACAAGCACAAATGTGCAGCCAACGCGTGCAGAAAAAAAGACGCTGGACAGATGATTATGTGCGGCCGCCTGCGCCAGTTTCGACCCTTCGAACCCATCGGGCAATCATCTCGATATTTTTATTATTTCAGTAATTTGCAGCACTATTCAAGCAGTTTGGCACCTGTTAACATAAAGTAACTAAGACTAAGCGTTTTGAAAGGAAAAACAAAACTCCTTACTTATAATAGTAGACATTTACAAAGAGCCATGTTATGCTTTGTAAAGCTCTTGATATCCTCTTCTGTTGCATCTGCTTAAATGTGATTTTGTATAGGTGTGCATGTTTGTTCCGTGGTGGGTATGGGGTTCCAATTACTTTTTTTATGCAGTGGAGACCAGTGCATATTTCTGAAGAGGTTTTGAGCTGTGACACAAAAAACACCACAATCCAGGGAACATTTTCGCACAAATACAGGTAGGGATGAACATCTTCATGACCACGCCATATCACATTAGGGGCATTGGTCCCCTCTTTGTTTTGTCTCAGCCCCTTAACATCGGACCAAAATGCTGAAAACATGATTCAGAACAGGTGTAAGCCCCTCTGATGTCACAGTCCCTATTATGTATGTGAGCATCATTATGAAGTACTTTTTGTCATCATGGAAGGTGAGAATCATCACATGTCTGGTGCAACCACGCTGCAGTTGATCACCTTTCGATGGGGAAACACTGTAAATATTCATGCTTTAAGGAAATGTGCTGTTGGTACTTGCACAGCTACTGTACCATATTTTTCACTAATGACTAGGTGGATAGTGTAGATTGGCTGCTGTGGTCACACTGGTGTCAACTGAAGTATTGATTTATTACATGTTATGCTCATTTAGCATTTCACTTCAAATGAATGTTCCCAATCCCAACAGTGTTTGTTTTTAGCAGCTTTTGTTATCACTTCTCAAAAAGAGTTGCATGGTTATTCAGATTTGCCAACTATTTACCAACATGGTTTGGCAGCAGGCACAAATTTTCCTTCAAGCTTTGTTATAACTAAAACAATTGACTTTAATTTGAGCATCACCAGTTTTGCTCTCCATACCTGAACCTGCAATCAAAGTGTGTCTTCCACTGCTCTCAGACAAAGGTATCACTGAACTTGCTACATGAGACACAGCATCAAGTTTTCAAGTTGGTGTTCAGGGTTGGAGAATAATAATTTGGTATTATGAGCCCAACATAGTGAACAAAATCAGACAACAACCATTAAAAAAACATCAAATTTTGGGATGCATCATTCCATTTTCACAAAAACCCAAACCTGTCATCTGAAACCACACAACAATTCTCATCCATACCACATGACAAGGAAAATAAACAACAGAGTAAAATGCAGGCAACTAACACATCTAAAGGTGCCAATATGTTAAAGAGTAAATATTGTGTTTGATCAGGATAATGGCCAGAGGGCCACATCAACTATGGCCAAACAACTGTTTCTCATGTGCTTGGATGTGTGCTGACTATTCCTCAGTGCTGCGGCTGTGTCAAAGCTTGAAAAAATGTAGGAGAACCCTGAATGAGTTTAGGGAAAACTTTTCAACCTGCAACAGAACATGCACCAGGCTGAGCTTTATTCAGTTTCTGGGAAGGTGTATTTCATAACCCCCTCCTGCAGTAGGCAGTGTTCCTGAACATCTTCAGTCAGAATGCAAGAATGGGTGCACAGCCATTTAAACAGGCCCCCGCCGGGATTAAAATTTGTTTCTGGCCCATCTTCAAAGGGTAACATGGATGCATGGGGCATGCATGCATGAATATCACGAATTGACTTCACAAAGTAGCACTAACTGTGCTAGATATGGTTTGCCAAAAGGATGATTTATATTGGATCATGACAAATTTTTACTGTCAGTCCATGTTTGTGTTGTAAATATTCCTTTAAGTTAAGCATGGGCAAAATTTGTTTTCAAAACTGTGCTCTATTTACAGGTTGCTTTGAGATCAGTACTGACATAACTTAATACATGTGATGATAAATGTTAATTCACCTGTGCCCTGTTTCTAACCATAGCTTCAAGTGGTCAGTCCAATAAAGATGTGAGTAAACATAGAGTACTTAGGAATATTTCATATCACACAAAGTATCATGGGGCATCTTTTATATATATATATATATATATATATATATATATATATATATACATAGCTAACTCCATGGATGTAGCCAGTATTAGTAATTCACATATGCATATCTACCCTAGTAGGCTTACGTATCAAGGGCAAGAAGTAGCCAAATAATCCAAAAAGCCAAAGAATTCACATGGTCTGTAGCCACCCAGAGGCATACATTTCAGTATCTGATTGCCCTTGGTATGCCATGGATAAGTACTGGAATGTTTACTGCCTAACCACTCACCTTCTCGGGCTTTTAGATAGACCGTGTTGGCCACTATGTTCTCAAGCTCCATTAAGTCCAGCTTGAAGCCTTGAAGTGTGATCGCTTTTCAAAGATCCATCCTCGGTAGGTACTTCAACCTGCCAAACTTGCGCAGAAAGAGAAAAATTCACCAGACCAGAACCCTGCAGTCCATCATCTTGCACTTTGATGAGTATCAAACATCCCAATCATTGCAAAATTATCAGGCATCCTGGTGCGAAATTATGCGATCGCTCTCAAGTCCAGTCTTCTCCGTCGGTCTTTTGCCACCTGGGATCAATTCAGCATGATTAGGTGGGTACTTCACATCAGCCAGTGGCCAACCTTTAGGCTCTGCCGTAGCAACATCGATAAAACAGTCTGGGTCATCCCATTGTGACTCTCACATCCAGACTGTCTCAGCGAGCACTGCTGTCACGCGCGCCCGGGCACTGCACCTCCCTCACTCAGCGCCGACGCTCCTATCCCAATATGCTGCCCTCCCTCACCGGACCGAAGACAGCCAAATAATCCTGCGCTAGCTCCACTTCAGTATACGGCCGCCCAACCGTAAACAACTGTGAAACTAGTATAATTCGGGTTTATGCTATGTAATATATTGCGCTAGTGTCGATTGCAGCCAGTGTGATGGGGGAAACTACGGCGGGTCAACTGGATAGTATGCTGTAGCACTGTTCAAGAAATAAGAGCGGTATATTGCCATAAATAACGAAGAAACCGTTGATTGACACCTCTGATATTTCTGGACTAAAATGGTCCGGAACATTGGCTGATCTATCCATTGTGCTAATAGAAAGAAAGACTCTGAACATGTGAAGGGCATTCATGCAAACATGTTGGCCCAGTGGCAGACAATTTAATAGCAGCTCAATAAGTGTAGAACTCTGAATGCCCCCCTGGTACATACTAGAAAGTGTCCCAAATACTGAATAGTGATGAGTCCATAACTTCTAAATTTGAATAAATATGGTGAATGTAAAATAGAGGAACTGGCATTTCTATATGCGTGAATTAATGTAAGATTTCATCTGGTTTACAAAAGTGCATCACAATGTCATCACAGGCTTTCACGTCCTCTGCAATTTAAACTGTAGACAAAAGCGACGCAAGCATAGGCCATTTAAAAATTATCGCGTAGGGCGTAGGCAAATTATCTGGGTGGGTTTGGCTGGCGGTATGCGTGTACGTTAGCGCTCGCAAGTTGTGTGCATGGGGTGTTGACACCAGTGTAGTGGTATTTTGTGGGTGGCTTTCACTGGGTGGATGGTCCCTTGTGTTTTTGGTTGTATTTGTACAAAGATTCGTCGGCATTGCTGTAGTTAGTTGTATCTTGCGCCTTTGAAGGTAAGGCCAACTTGATCAGCTAGTCTCCAGAAATTTTGGTACGTCTGGAGCAATTCTATATAGTTCAAGCTATACTGAATTTTCCATGGATTGTAGTCATGGATGGAAAAGCCCAGGAACCGTGAGATAAAGGCTGCGCTGTGTAGCCCATGAAGTACATCCATTTACCCCAGATTTGGAGAGGTGGGCTGCACTCTGCCACCTGCCCCACTTTCATGCAGTTATCATATATTTATACTTTTTAATTGTCATTATAGCCTAAGCATACTGAAGCCATTGACCATGATCCTACCATTTCTGTCATGCTTTTTGATAGAACCATTATTGTGCACAAGTATTGTGGTCATGCTGGTTGATTTAGGCTACAAGGTAAGCTGTCATGACTGAAATTCAGGAAATCATTTTTTTCCTTGATTTTGAACCACTAGTTTCTTAGAAGGCATTCATCCTACTACTTTTGCATTACTGTAAATGAGTAAGTTGTGGAAGACTTATGCAGGATTATTTTTCTGCAAATAAACTGCCAGCAAGGGCTGGTTGTGCAACTGATTTTATGATAAATGGTAGGATGTTAAAACACCATATTTGGTCAAAGGGTTTATTGCTCTAACCAAGTTCCATGGTGCAATAGATTCTGTGCTTAAACAGTGCATGCTATCCACATACAGAACATATACCATCCTCATAGTGTGCCAGAAATATACAGATATTACAGCTAATTTGTTATTGACTCTGTTATCTGTTTTGTAGGCATCTCAATTGGTGTAAGGAATCTTCTAGTTAGGAATAAGTCTGTTTTCTAGCTGTCACATGTGAGAATAGCACTGCTTGAGATGAGGCAGTGTTATTCACAGCTAGAGTGCCCTTTGAAGATGAATTTTAAACAGGAATATTTGGTACCCAGATATCACCAGTATGGTACTGACACTAATATTGGAGGCAGGAGGCATAACTAGCCATTTGCATTCAATGTGATTGGTTATGGTAGTTGTGTTGTCATGTGTCAATCAGGATGCTCTTTCCTTTTTTTACTAATTTATTATTTATATATAATATTTTTTCATTATATATATATATATATATATATTAGTAATTCACAAATTTCACTGAAGCTGACAGGCAAGTCTCTTAGTTGTTTCATTCCTTCATTTTGAATAGTTGGTAACTTGGGAAGTTGTTAAGGTCTGAAGCTGTCTCACAACAATGTGGGATGCATTGAAAATAATTTGTGCATTCTGTTCTCAGAATTGTGATGTGTATTAAGTTGCAATGTTCTGTGCCATTTTCTATCTGCTATCTGCCCATTCTGGACATGCTCATTTGTCCTGGTATGCATTTCTTATTTCAGCTTTCAAATAAAATGTAACCAGAGCTATTGGCATGTTAATCTACTTGACTTCCAAAATGCACTTTTCATAACTGCCATGAGCTCTTATGTTATATGTTAATCTTATATATATATATATATATATATATATATATATATATATAATATACATTATATATGTATAATCTTACATATATAATGTTATGCTCTTATATTAATAACTGACCTTGAGTATGCCGGGAGGTAACAGAGGGCCTTGTCAAGGAATCATATATAAGACAAGCTAATGATGGATGCCAATGATTTGTTGGTTACAACATGTAACCAGCATCTCCTAGTACATTGAAGGCCTAGGATAATAATGGATACCAATGATTCATTGGTACCAGCATGTAACCAGCATCTCCTAGTACATTGAAGGTTTGTGTTACCTACATGCTGTAAAAATGCATTCATAGAATGGTCATCAAGGACTCAAACACATGGGAATTGTGTATTACAACATAAATAGCACCTTGAAGCTTGGCATCTTGCACCCCAGGCTAGTAAGTAGGAATTGGTATCCCTAGTAAGTACTGATTTCACAGCCTTAGCATGTGTCATGGTGGAGAAGAGTGTCATATCCAGCCCAAAATGAATTACTACTCTTGGACAGCATGGCGATGAAAATACCCACAAAATGTCACTGATGGCACTCCTGCCCTACCCTGACTTGTTACATGCAGCAGTGACATTTAGCTGGGCACTCAGGACACAGCTCTTTTAAATAATTTTTCACAGGCCTTGAAATGGATGGACTTCTGAGATTAGAGTCCATGCCAAACACTGCTGATGTGTACCCTGACCTATGAAAGCTCAGATTAACAGCATGATTTTGTTGCAAAAGTTTAATGTTGTGCAATGCTTGGCATGGTTTACCCTACCCTCCATCACCAGACCTTTTGTGCAGTCGCTGCCACCAGCTGCAGGCCATCCCAGTCAGGGGCAACTATTAAGAGCTTAGAGCAACCCAAACCTCCGTGCTACAGGTGGTAGATTGAAATGGTGATGTACTAATTGATTGAGCTATCATGAGGGATCAACTTGTTGGAACTACTCCCTCCCCTTTGGAAAATGCATGCATGCAGTATGCTTTATGTGTCTGCACTGGACAAAAGATCACTTTGACTGCTTTAGCATGCTGGCTTAATGGGTCCTCCTGTCAATATGTTTGACCATTTTCCATACCCCATATTATAACAGTTAACTTATGTGTTACTTAAATGACTGACATATCAGTACACACTTTAGCATGTTCCTATAACTGACAATATCAGAACAGCTGGTCTTTGTTTTAGGTTGAAAGCACAGTATTGACAAAAACATTGCAAGTTAAGGCACTGGTAGTTCTTGGTGATAATGCTAGTAAAGTGTTGTGTTTGTAGATTGCATTGTCTGTCATCCCAGTGATAGTGAATCCAATCTCATTTAGTGCTGGATTTGATCTTGTTTAGTGACTGGTGTGATCGCGGACGACGTTGGACTCGATGTCGCCTAGCACTGGACATTTGCATTGGTCGGTTCGACGTTGCCTGGCGTGGGAGCCGTCGGAGTGTGTCCCGGCCGATGCCGAATGCGGTATCGCGTGATGCTGTATTCGGTGTCGACTGGCTGTGGGTCCGGTTTCTGCTGACGCAACCGTCCCCAGCAGGTCAGTGAGTGGCGGCCGCCGGGGTACAGCCTGCGTTACATGGTGGAGACCCGCTAGTCGGAAGGGGCTGCTGCACAGTCAGAGCGAGGCGACACAGGCGCAGCCATGGGCTGCACCATCAGCACCATGGACAAGGAGGCGGCGGCCATCTCGCGCAAGATCGACAAGGACCTGCGCATGGCCGGCGAGCAGGCGGCTCGTGAGGTCAAACTGCTGCTGCTCGGTACGCTCCCCCCCCCCCCCCCCCCCGCCCCCGCCTCCGCCCCCGCCCCCGCCCCCGCGGCCGTCAGGTGGCGATCGGCCAGCCTCGGGGCGGTCTATTTTGTGAAAGACCCATCTGTTTGCATTATTGTGGTTGCCAAAACATGTGTGTGTCTGTCTATCCATCAGTGTCTCCTGCCTGCTTATCTGGGTTTCTGCTGTTTGTGCCCATCTTTCAGGCTGTCTGACTGGCTGCATGTTGTGATGTTTCAGCTGTGAGTGTCTGTGTGGTGTTTCATTTTGCTGCTGTTGTCTGTGCTTTATTAGGCTTAGACTGATGTATGTCAGTTTGTGTACATGTCTATACATGTCTACCTGTCTTTTGTATGTCTGTTAGGCTGTCATTGTGTCATGACTCATGTGAGTTTGATGGCCCTTGTCATGAATTTGTCATGTGAGTTGCAGTGTTGTCATGTAATCACAGTAGGATTAAGGAATTTTGTGCCAGTCAGAACCTTTGCCACTGGAACTGATGCATATGCAGCTGGGCTACATATGTGTCCCCCTACAGGATGTAGCATGTTTCCCCTTGCTCATATGTGTAGTAATAAACATTGATTTATGCGATCTTATATTCACTTTGTCAAATTCAGATACCTGAGGCAAAAGCAATGTTAAGGATGAATGTGTCTTTCCACAGGAACATCTTTTATCAGGTCTCTATCATAGCTTGGACGTTGGACGTGTTGGTAAAGCAGACTTTGTGATGTAACCAGTAGTTTTGTTTGCACATCATTTTGTGACACTGTATTCAATTAAACAGGTTTCAGTTGGTTTTGTTCAATGTTTGTTGAAGCTTGCATGTGCATGACATTTCTCCTTTTATTTGTCCCTGCTTTGATGATGCAACTGACTTGCATGGATGAAGGGAGAACATTTAGGGTGTAATTTATATACACTGCTTACCAACATGCATGTACCATAGCATATTGCTCCTTGTTCTAATGTGCATCAGGTCACTATTTAGCCAGTTTCTTAGTATACTTTTCGTTTTGTTCATACCTGGGTACTCGAATTTTCTTTATCTTATCACTTGTTGTGCTTCAACCCTTGTGCTTGCAGGACTTGATACCCATTGACGAGCTGGTGCCCATCTGTGGAGACGTCACTTTCCCCCATTTGCTGGGTGCAGCAGTATCTGAACGTTGCTTGACCCTCGCGTGTCGCGTCGTCCTCGACAGGCGCGGGCGAGTCAGGCAAGAGTACGATCGTGAAGCAGATGAAGATCATCCACGAGTCAGGCTACAGCCGCGAGGAGTGCGAACAGTACCGGCCCGTCGTCTTTAGCAATACCATTCAGGTGCGCGTCTTGACTGGCAAGGCGCCAACGAGCTGCGGTCCGTGAAACCCCGTATTGGACTATGGCAGTCGTGTTTTGGGGACAATCGGAGGGAATGAGTTGCTCTTTGCCGGTTACGCACAGGCCACACATATGCCACTCACCGTCACCTGCTATTGGCTGGCGACAGACCATGCTGCGGTCGATGCTCTTACCTGCGGACCGTGCATCACGTACTGGTCGCTTGTCGTCACCTTAATGCAACGAGAGCGCAGTTTTTTCGGACACCAAGTCCACATTCGCACGCTATGCCACTTTAGGAGATTCTTCGCACGCTGTCAAGTTTGGTAAAGTGCTCCAGTTTCTTTGTGCTACAGTTTTCCCAGTAATCTTTTCATCATGATACTAGGCCTGATCATCAAGGGTTTGTAGGGTGACTTGATTGATGCACTTGCCTGATTGGCGGCTCTGCATAAATTGATAGTTATGGGTGCTGAACGACCTACAGCAGTCGATGCGCCGTAAGACCCCAAATCATCATCATCACATTAGCTGGCAAGGGATGTGGTGAGCTCCTGGGGCGGGGAGGAGGGTGCAGTACCAACGTGCAGTGTCCAGCACCCACCCTGGTGTGCCATGGCTGTCTAGGTGTCGTAGACTTGTTGCAGAATGGGCCTGGTGCGTTAGGCACCATGTGCACCATGCTTGCGGATTTGTGCGCCACTTGGTCCATTACTTAAATGGAAGTCTGGCATGTGCTGGGTCCCACGGGCCCGCTGATGTGTCGAGACGCCACGGAAAGCGCCGCTCCTCCTGATGTGTTTGTGGCGTTGCGGAGCGGACGTTCCCGACAAGTTCTTCATGTTGGTCCCATTCCAGAGCCTGATGGCCATCATTCGAGCCATGGGTCACCTCCGGATAGAGTTCGCCGACTGCATGAGAAAGGTACGTCGCGCCGGTGACTATGAGATCCACTGAGCTCCGCCCCCGATGTGAGCTCCGCTTTCAGGGCTACACGACGTATCAAAGTGATACCCTGCTCCAGCAAACACCTTCGTGCTGGTTGAGGAAAGACGCTGGAATGAGCGCGTTCTGTGTGGACTAGCAGATCGTTGTTTTCTTGCGTGCCTCCGCTGTCACCCGGCGTGCCGTCATCGTGGGAAGACGCCGCGGATGGTGCAAATGGCCTCTTTGGGCCCTGATAGCCCGCACTAACCAGCCGCCGCCACGCGGACACGGCCACGTGACCGCACGCTCGCTGACGCCCCCCGATCCGGCCGTTGCAGGAGGACGCGCGCCAGTTCTTCACGCTGGCGTCGGCGACAGACGAGGGCGTGATGACGCCAGAGCTGGCGCACATCATGCGCCGGCTCTGGGCGGACGGCGGCGTGCAGGCCTGCTTCCTGCGCTCGCGCGAGTATCAGCTCAACGACTCGGCCGCCTACTACCTGAACGCGCTCGACCGCATCTCGAAGTCCAACTACGTGCCCACACAGCAGGACGTGCTGCGCACGCGCGTCAAGACAACCGGCATCGTCGAGACCAAGTTCAGCTTCAAGGGACTCAATTTCAAGTAGGTTGCGGGGGCGCGCGGCTGGTAATACGTGGAGATCATTGTTGGGGAGGCTCGCTGCTGCTACCATTTGAGCTAAGCAGGCATGGAAACAGTACCTGCTTGGACTTGGATGTCTCGAAGCCGCAGTTTCCTTTAATGTCTCTGGGTTCGGCTTGGGCTCTGGGCCGTTCTCTGCGGGTTGCTTAGGCTTCATGCTATATTAAATGGCTGACTTTGGCTTTGTGTGGTTTTCAGCAACTGGGTTCACTTTATGCGTCGGACATTTTTTGTGGCCCTTCGGCTCACGTGATCCTGAACTTCTGTCATCGGCTTTGTGATCATGTTTTTCACAGCAGTTACAACTTTGCTTCACATAAACAGCTTCTCTTCCTGTCAAACCAACATAGTACACAGCTTTTGAGCCTTTGACGTTTACATGGCTGATGACTGAGTGACCAGATGGTGTGTCAGGACCAACTAACACCTGAAGACGGCCGGAGAATTAACTCCGAAAGGTCGTGTATCTAATGGCATACATGAAGAGGATGCTAGGCCGCAAAAAAAGTTCGTTATGCTAGCACGATGTCGCAATAACTGTGCGAGACCCAGACTTTTTTATGTCACACAGTTTAAGCAGGCGCAAAACTTTTTTTGCCAAATCATAGTATACTTAAGATTCGGCGTCGCATTCGGTCTCATCATTTAAACTGATATGTTGGACTTTAGCTTCGCATTTTCGAAGTTCGATGCAGCCTAATTCGGCTTTGCGTGTACAAAGTTCTAAGCCACGACTTCGCATTCCACTGGACGTTTCAATGACATCAAGTTTTTGGCTTCGGCTTCGTCTTCGCAATTCTAAACTCCAAAGCCATCGACTCCCACTTCGTGTCCATGTATTGGCTTATGATTCGGTTTCAAAGCCAGAGGCCGGACCTCGTCACTGTGCCTGGTAGTCAGTGCTGCTTTTGCGCTGATAAATGTGATTTTTTTTGTCACCTCCTCGGCGTGCACAGCCGTGATTCCAGTGGAAAGCAGCATTTCGGCTCAGCGAAGCCTTGTAGTCAGCCCCCGATGTTGTTTGCCCGATCGTGTTTTTCATCTCACGTGGCGTTATACACTGCTGCGGAGTAAATATTATCCAACTAATAACAGGTCTGGTTTGTGCTGCGAAAGCCCACGTTTCCATCATGTCGTGTCCCTCGACAGTTTGTCTGAAGTTCAACTTGTGCATTGACAGAATGTTCGACGTTGGCGGCCAGCGATCCGAACGGAAGAAGTGGATCCACTGTTTCGAAGGCGTCACAGCCATCATCTTCTGCGTGGCCATGTCGGGTGAGCAGTGCCCCGCTCCCGTTCCCGCACGGGACGGGACGTGCCAGGGCTGTCGCTCAGGTGTCCCGATGCTCAGCTCTCCAGAACGTGTCCTTTGGTCGCAGTTGTTGATCCAGGCATTTGAGGATGTGAGAAAATGATTGTTGAAATGATTGAAACGATTGAATGAAATTGATTGAAAATTGAAATTGAAAATTGAAATGAAAAAATTGAAAAAATTGAAATTTGAAGAAAAAAAAATTGAAAAAAAAAATTGAAATGAAAAAAATTGCATGAAAATGAATGATTGAAAATGAAAGTTTGTGGCCGAGTGTTCTAGAGACACTGATTTTTGATGCGTTTAGTTTGTGTTGGAAGTTGTGGTTTTCAGTCCAGGCCTGACATGTGGCTCCATCTGTCCGTTGGTGGGCGTAACTCGATCGATGTGGCTCGCAGCGTAGCCTGTCACGCTCCATTTTTGCCTGCTGTGCACTGTTGCGTTATGCTCCACCTATTTCAGCTGTTGCGAGCGGTCACGTCAGTCCATAAAGTGGCCAGTGTTGATGTGTGCTGGGAGCTCCAGCACGCTTAATGCATCAGACGGCTGCGCTGTCGCGCCGCCGTCTCTGGAGGAGCGTGATCGGATGGCGCGGCCGTGCGTGTCGCCTGCGGAGGCGTGGCTGACACGTGGGTCGCCGCGCTGGGCAGCGTACGACCTGGTGCTGGCGGAGGACGAGGAGGTCAACCGGATGATCGAGTCGATGAAGCTGTTCGACTCCATCTGCAACAACAAGTGGTTCGTGGACACGTCCGTCATCCTGTTCCTGAACAAGAAGGACCTGTTCGAGGCCAAGATCGCCCGCAGCCCGCTCACGACGTGCTTCCCAGAGTACAATGGTCAGTGGCGGCCGCCAGCGTAAGTCGCAGCGGGAGGGCGATGTCCCCCCTCCCTCTCTCGCCCTCTCCCCGTAAGCAGCTGGTTGTCATGCAGCGCGGTGCTGGGTGTGCCGTGATGAGCGTCTGGCTTTGTGATCGGCGCTGGAAGATATGCGCGTGCTTTGCGAATCGTTTTGTTATGTCACTATTGTCGTAGGCGGAGCCCAGCAGCTGTCGGATATTGTTGGAGAGGCCAAACGGTGTGTCTTTCACATCTCAAGACGGTCTTTTAAGTGCATTGTTGGAGTAAAGCTGTCCACACAAAGAAAATACTGCCCGTGAGGCGTGATGTTCTTTCATTGACAGGGCATGATCCCCCACCACTTTTTGGGCTTGTTAAGAGTGAAAAGTTTGTTTAAATGTATTGGTACGCGTTAACACTTTCAAACACTTATCACCTTACTTTTTCAAACACCTATCACCTCATGAGATAAGCAAAATATGTTACTGTGTACTGCATTACCCTGCATTACATGCTACCTTTTACTCTTTTTGTATGGAGGTCGTATTGCTGCGAGTACCTCACTTCACCCGATGCCGCCAGGTGCCAACAACTACGAAGAGGCGGCTGCGTATATACAGATGAAGTTTGAAAATCTCAACAAGCGCAAAGGGATGAAGGACATCTACACGCACTTCACCTGTGCCACAGACACCAATAATATCCAGGTGAGGTAGCCCTCTGGCAGAAAGCACGCTCACGTTTTGCTCTTCGCATTTTACGCTGGCATTTCTGAACGCTGAAACCTCCAAGCAACTTGTAGTGTGTTCACTTTGCTTTAGGTAACATCTTGAGGTAAGGGGAACAAAGTACTGCATGTTTGAAAATAAGGAAGCCCTTTTGGAATTTGCCCCCACCGCTACCCGCTCGCAAGGCGGCGTTCTGTTTTCCCCGGCCTTGACGTTATAGCAGTGAGGCGTGGAAGATCCCTTGTGTAATGGCCTCCAGAGCCTGCGCTCGGTAAACAAATTCTGGGGTCACCGAGTATTTGGGGCGCAAGCTATGAAGTGGAGATGTCCGTTACACTCATCTGTACGTTGGAAGCCTGGTAACGATCATTTTCTGGCAGCTCGCCCGTTGCAAGGGTCGAGTACAGCATCCACCTTCTTTATTTAGGTGGTATGAATTAAAAGAGCTATCTTGGATGAATGGCTATTCCTTCCGCCCCTTGTCCTCCCTCGCGCTCTTGTCAGCTAGTGACCGGGAGTTAGGCTGCTGGTGCCTGGCCTGACCGGCAACACTCCTGTTTCAGTTCGTGTTCGACGCCGTCACGGACGTCATCATCAAGCACAACCTGAAGGACGTGGGCCTCTTCTAGCAGACCGACTCCGAGATGCGGAGTACAAACCGCAGGCGGCTCGGCCGGCCGCCGTCGGGCCGTACAGTAGCAGCCGCATGCTAGCGCGGCGGTTAAAATAGCGGCGGGCGACTGCTGCCTGTCGAGGTGGCGGCCCCGGTCAGATGCGGCGGCAGCTCCGATCAGGCTGTAGGGCCCCAGACAGGGACCTCTGTCGGACCGAAGGCGGCCGCTGTCTGAAGGGACAGCGACTCTCGTCTGGGTGGACAGCGACTCCTGTCTGGGGGACGGTGGCCGCCGTCTGGTCTGACTGCGAGTGGTCTCGTCCGGCTGACGACGGCTTCCGTGTGGCACGACGCTGCCGCCGTCAGGCCATGTGTCGCTCCCGTCGGACCACGAGCCACTCCCGTCAGAAGTGTGTCCTGCAAGACCGGCCAGCGGCCGCCGCCGGGCAGGGCGGCGGCTCCCGTCTGGCAGGAGTCTGCTGCGTCGGCCCGGACGGCGGCTCCCCGGGGGTCGGCTGCTCCTGCCGGCAGCAGCCGTAGCGGGGCGCCGCCAGCCGCCAGCCGCTCCCAGAGTATCGCGAGGCTTGCAATATGATATCCCTCGTACGCAGCATTGCCGGGTGCGGCCCGCCTCGCGCGCCGCGCCGTGAGGTCCCCTCCGCGCCGCTGTAGACTGCCGATTCGAAGGGGGCGAACGGCCGCCCCTGTGCCTTCCGCCGCGTCCAGAGGTGCCCGGCCGGCACTACTCACGCCTCGAGCGCGCGCCGCGCGAACTGATCCAGGTGACCGTGCCTGAGTTTGCCTTCGACTCAGTAGCGTTTGCAAACGGTGTTTCCGGAATGTATTTTTATCTCGTGATCTCTGCTTCCAACACGTCTTCTGCATTCCCTTTTATACATTTGATGACTGCGAAACGCATTTTCTGCGTGCCTTCATTTTGGCCACTCGCATTTGTACCACCGTATTTCTTATAGACATTGTATGTACAGTGTAACAAAGTGTAATAAAACTGGTCTAGTTTTAGTTGTTTACGCTCAACCGATGCTTTTGGGAGGGACGAGCTGGACAGATTGCGAACACTATCAACGGCCGGGAGTATCCTTGGAATCGACAGAGGCCTATGTGAGATTCAGACCCAGCGACGTAACTATGGATCATTTCCACGTCGTGCGGCACATCGGTGGCGCTTCCAGCGGTCGCTGCATGCCGACGATGTCGCCCTCTTGGGACGTGTGCCCCGCCGTCTAGTTGATCAATCTCTGACGAGCGAGCGCTGGTGTCGCGCCACCGGCTAGTGTCGCCGTATCCGAGCCCGACCGCAGAAGACGCCCGCCGCGCCGTCGCACCGCCGCCGTACCGAGCGTGGGCGCGTCGCGGCGCCGACCGCACCCGGACCGAACCCCGCACCGCACCGCGCCCACCCCGGCCTTCCCGGCGGCGGCGCACTGCGCGGCGGTGGCGCGGAAGCCGCGTCACTCCCCAGAGATAGCGCGTCCGGAGCATGCCGGCCGGCCGGCGCGGCGGGTCAGTGCCGACCGGGCCGCGCCGCCGCCGAGCTCATGTGCGCTTGCTGCGGCTGTCTGGGCGGCGGGCGACGCGCCGGCCGCGTCTCGCCCGACCCGGCCGCCGTCTCGCGCCAAATTGACCGCGCCCTCGAGCAGGAGAAGAAACGCGCCGATAAGGAGATCAAGATGCTGTTGCTCGGTAAGTGGGCGTTCTGCGCATGCGTGGTCTTGTGATCTGATGACTCATGTTGCGGGCTGATTCTGAGTTCTTCCTGTCCTGTTCGCTGAAGATGCTGCATCATTCATCAGTTTACGAGCGCCGCGGTGAATGGGCCGCTTTCGAACATCGCGTGGCGTTTTCTAATACCGGCTCTGATATCGCCGTAGTTTTTCCATTTTTCAAAAACATTTCAGATGCTTTTCGTGCCTTGTGTGATATTACGTGCCGGCATCATGTCAGCGCTATTCGCTCTTTAAGTAAACCATGCGACGCGGCACTTCATTGTAAGGCTGCACGCCCACGGCACTCGATCGTTGGTCCCGTCCCGTTTTAAGGTCGTCCACTCTGTCGTCGGGATTGCCTGCGGTCAGATCACGGCCAGTCTGGGCAGGAAGGGTGGCACTGGCTTGCCGCAAAGGGTGATGTTCCGGATAGATTATGAGCCGACCTCTGCTCGGTGCGACGCAGCCCGGTCGGCTAGTTGGCTCAGTGTCGGCGATTTAAACCTACCATATCAATGAACTTGCAATGATGTACGGTTTTCACATTTGAGACTGGAGCATTACAAGGGCGATTTTTGATTGATGTTGATCGCAAGAAGCAGACCTGCGCGTCAGACTACATTTTATTGGTGAAGGGCGCAGCGTCTCGCATTCGACGTCTGTCTCGAACAGGATGACAACGCTCACGTTCCGGCCGATTTCCGGTGGGCTGAACAGCTTTGATATGCTCAGTGAGTTGTGGTCTGTATGTCCGTAGACTCGGCGCAGATGGAGTCAGGCCGTCTCTTTCCTGGTAGGTGAAGTTTGTCACCAATTCTTGAAAAGGTTCTCGGATGGGTGGACCACGTTCGTTCGCAGAAGTGCGTGGTTGCGGTTGTCCGTTCCTCCTCCGTCAGGATCTGTTAGTATCGCATCGCTGTGGTGCGGGGCTGGTTTCCACCCACGTCCGTCAGCTTGACCGCAATTTAAAAATATGCCCTTCTTCCAGTGAAAGTGAAGGGTCGGTCCGATCGTGAAGATGCTGCACTGTTGCCGGCCCGGCTGGGCCGCTGGAGGTGAAAAGTTTATCACAGCTCAAGTAATATATGATCGGCTCATGACCTGTCTCGTAGTAGGTGATAGGGCGTTGCGTGGAGAGAAACGACTTGCCACACTCCCCCCCCCCCCCCCCAACTCTGAGGAGGTTCAGCGGCCGCTGTGCGTTTGATATGAAGACGTTCCCAACAAAAGTCCGGGCTTGAGCGTCCCACTCAGGTCCGCAGCCAGGATTGTCTCAGTCGAGAGGGAGGGATGGAGCCTAGTGAGCACTTACCATAAAAAACCGAAGGCGCCGGCTATGCTGCTAAAATAAACCAAAATGCGTGTCTTTGGGGGCTGCCCCCCTCTGGTTGCGCCCCAGGTCCCCCGCCAGGGGGACCTTAGTGTGCTGTGACTTCTTACACTCCGTCAGCCGCTGTCGAGCTTCCGTTACGCCCTCGTCTTCCCAGGCGCCGGCGAGTCTGGCAAGTCGACTCTCCTGAAGCAGATGAAGCTGATCCACGAGGAGGGCTTCTCGCTGGAGGAGCGCGCCTCCTACGTGGCCGTGGTCCACAGCAACACTCTTCAGAGTATGAACGCCGTCATCCGTGCCATGGACCAGCTCAAGATTGGGTTCGCCGATGCCGAGAGGGAGGTGGGTGGAGCGGGTCGGGGTAGGAGTTGGGGGAGGGGGGCGCTGGCGTAGGTGCCGTCCGAATCACAACCAAGCTGTGCCGAAATACCGCAAACAAAGGTGACTGCAGGGCTGTCAATGTATATTTCTGGGGGGTCCAAACCGCTGCAGAGGGATTTTGTTTTCCTTCTGTTTGTTAGTAGGCATTCGGGTCGTGTGCTTCGCTTAAAGGTGCCTGAGAGCCAGCAGCTTCAGACCTCCTGATTTTGAAGTCCCTCAGGTGGTTTTCGTTGTAAGCAGTGCAGGAGTTTTCCCACCGAAACGAGCATCGCGCATCATCAAATGAATTATTCAGGCTGCCCGTTAGGATCAGACATAATAATTTCGCACCATTGCAAGCCATTCACACTGTACGTATGCAACTCATGAAGTGCCTACCTACCAACGGCCGTCAGAGCGGTTCTTGGCCAAAGTGCCTGCCTACCAACGGCCGTCAGAGCGGTTCTTGGTCAAAGTGCCCACCTACTAATGGCCGTCAGAGTGGTTCTTGTCCAAAGGCTCCGGTGCCGAGTGCCTGCGCGTCCCTCCGCCTTACAGTCGTGAGTCACAGTCACATCCCGACGCCGTGACTACCGCCAGGATGACGCGGTGACGTTCTTCGCGATGACGGAGCGGTCGCCGCGGGTGACGCCCCTCCTGGCGCAGGCCATGGCGCGGATCTGGGCCGACGCCGGCACGCAGCTGTGCTACTCCCGGGCTCGCGAGTACCACCTGAACGACTCGGCGCCGTACTTCCTGCAGGCGCTGGAGCGCATCTCGCAGCCAGGTTAGGTCAGGTCACACGGCCGACTGGTCCATCTCACACCCAGGTCACCTGGCCGATCGGTCCATCTCGCAGCCAGGTCCGGTCAGGTCACACGGCCGACCGGTCCATCTCACAGCCAGGTCACCTGGCCGGTCAGTCCATCTCGCAGCCAGGTCAGGCCAGGTCACACGGTCGACTGGTCCGTCTCGCAGCCAGGTCCGGTCAGGTCACCTGGCCGGCCGATCCACCTCACAGCCAGGTCCGGTCAGGTCACTCGGCCGACCAGCTATCTCACAGCCAGGTCCGGTTAGGTCACACGACCGGCCGATCCATCTCACCATCTCACAGCCAGGTCCGGTCAAGTAACTCGGCCGGCCAGCTATCTCACAGCCAGGTCCGGTCAGGTCACACGACCGGCCGATCCATCTCACCATCTCACAGCCAGGTCCGGTCAGGTCACCTGGCCGACCGGTCCATCTCGCAGCCACGTCCGGTCAAATCACCTGGCCGACCGGTCCATCCCACAGCCACGTCCGATCAGGTCACCTGGCCGACCGGTCCATTCACAGCCAGGTCCGGTCAAGTCACCTGGCCGACCGGTCCATCCCACAGCCACGTCCGATCAGGTCACACGGCCGAGCGCGTGCAGGGGCACCTTCTGCGGTAAAGTGGGCCTGGGAGGTGATCAGAGGCGGGTTTTTATGGAAAAAGGGATATGCTGAAATTCATGAGACCTGCAAGGTATTTGGGGGGGGGGGAGACGCCATGTTTTGGTTGTATTCTTGCGGTGGACACATGACCTCGGTGCCTCCTTAAACACGCCACTGAGGAATTTATGATCGCAGTCGGCGTCGTTGCTTGGAGGGCAGGATGCTTGGCTCGCAATCCCGAGGTCGTGCTCTGGGTCTGAGTACTTGCCACCATTTGTGCTTTGGTTCATCTGCTGCTGTGGTGGACGACCTTGCAACGCAAAATAAGCCACCCTATTTCAAACACAACCGATGTGTTTCCTGATTACTTTCATGTCCATCACTGGGAATCTGTGTTCCATCACTGGGAATCTGTGTTCCATCACTGGAAATCTGTGTTTCATCACTGGAAATCTGTGTTCCATCACTGGGAATCTGTGTTCCATCACTGGGAATCTGTGTTCTCAGGATACGTGCCATCCCAGCAGGACATTCTCAGAACACGAGTGAAGACCACAGGCATATTTGAGAAGAGCTTTCACTACAAGAGTGTGCTGTTCAGGTACCGCTGTGATCCGAGTCAAGCATATCGACGATATGCATCTCAAACGTATTGACGTTAACACGCCTTAACTGTGTCTGAGGTCCACACCCGTGTCGGTGTCATTTGATCTGATCGCAACACAAACATGTCCAAGCTGCCCACGCGCTGTTGGGGTCCGGATCCCACCGATCCCGTGGCAGTCACGTCATGCTGAAACGACCTCATTGATGGCTCCGTTATGTCTCTGTCAAGCTTAAAAAGCTAAAGACAAGAGAGAGAGAGGGAGAGAGAGAGAGAGGAGAAGAGAGAGGACGGAGAGAGAGGAGAGAGAGAGATGCGAGAGAGAGAGAGGATATATATATATATATATATATATATATATATGTATATATATATACTATATATATACTATATATATATGTATATATATGTGTGTGTGTGTGTGTGTGCGTGCGTGCGTGCGTGCGTGCGTGCGTGCGTGCGTGCGTGCGTGCGTGCGTGCGTTGCGTGCGTGCGTGTGTGTGTGTGTGTGTGTGTGTGTGTGTGTGTGTGTGTGTGGTGTGTGTGGTGTGTTGTGGTGTGTGTGTGTGTGTTGTGTGGTGTGTGTGTGTGTGTGTGTGTGTGTGCGTGCGTGCGTGCATGCATATATAATGACACCACACCTTCATATTTAGCACATAAAAGCTGATTTAAAAAAAATGGCGTCTAGTCATAATCCTAAGCCATGTTGCACACAATGAAGGTATCTGGATCATAAAGTATCTGGATTATAAAGTATCTGGATCATAAAGTATCTGGATCATAAAGTATTTGGGTCATAAAGTATCTGGATCATAAAGCGTTAAGCGCCGGAACCTCACTTCACGCAGCATTGTCGTCATTCAGTGGCGCTTACGCATCCACTGGCGTAGACCCCAAACGAGAGCCGAGAAATGGCACGGTTCGTGGTCTTCATGCCCCTCGTTCCGTCGTCTCCAGGATGTTCGATGTCGGCGGCCAGCGGTCGGAGCGGAAAAAGTGGATTCACTGCTTCGAGGGCGTCACGGCTGTCATATACGTGGTGGCGCTGTCGGGTACGAACGAACCCCGAACGCGGGCTGATCGCGGAACGGCAACACCAGCGGCCCCAGGCTGCAGGCGCGGGTCAGAGATGGATAAGTCGTGCCTGAGTCTGAGTCCGAGCCCTGGAGTACTAAGTGTGTGTCCTGAGTCCGTCATTGCCACATTAGAGAGTGCATGCCTGAGTCATGTTGTGAATGCGACTTGGGGTTCAGAGTCTGACTCCGATTCCTTCGAGACTGTCTCCGAGTCCTTGGCTGGGTCAGGGGGGGGGGGGGATCGAGTCCGAATGCATCAGTCTCGGTTGGAATTTCATGAGACAATTAGAACTTATATCGTATTGTTAGGGATAGAGATCGTCGTATAACTGCAATACGAGAAACCGCAAATATTGTGACGGGATAGACTTCCGCCCCACCTAATCTGGCCGAAATGAGACTTAGGCACAGCCGAACTTGACGCCTTGAATAGTCAACACTGGAACTGTTTCTGAGTTGAAGGCAAGCGCTGATAGCCTTTTCGAAACTGAAGTGGGCGATGCTAAATATCCAACCCAAATCAAAATTCAAATCCAAATGCAAGTCCGAGTCCGAGTCCGAGTCCGAGCCCGAGTCCGAGTCCGAGTCCGAGTCTTAGTCATAGTCCGGTTGGACCCAGATCCCCGTCTGCCGCGCTGGTAACTACCGGGACAGGGGGCTTGATTTGGTATGCAAAACGCCGTTATCCAAAGCTCATTCATGGAGCCGGGCTTTGAAAGGCGCTGTGGCAAAGCTTTAGCGGCTGGGCCGAATAGTTCCGCGTCCGGGCAGTCGTGTTGCCATGCGCCGCCCACTGGGCTGATGCGACATGGTGCCGCACGTGCCCACATCAGCCGCCTTGATGCGGTCAATATCCGCGCCAACCTCCGGAAATGTTCTAAAGCTCCACTTGAGAAGGACGCTCCCAAATCCTTGGTCTACTGATATGAATGCATGGATCTCAGATGCTATCCATCAACCAGGAATGATTGAGGGAAAGGGCTCCGGCTTCGAGGCTGATTTTCATACCGGTAAGGTCAAGTGTCTGCTACGTACTCCCTGAAGGTGCAATCATGAACCACATACCACTCTGTCATAGGTGCCTTCTCATTGCCTTCTCTCCATTTCCACGCCATCAAATAATCAAATTACTAGCTCGCGTCAATAACTCATCGTGTCAAGATTGTGCCATGCGTTGCCATGGTTGCCCTGTTGCTAGGCTACGACCTGCTGTTGATCGAGGACGACACCACGAACCGCATGGTGGAGTGCATGAAGTTGTTCGACTCGGTCTGCAACAACACCTGGTTCAGGAACACGCACATGATCGTGTTCTTCAACAAGCGCGACCTGTTCGAGGAGAAGCTGCCCCGCTCACCGCTCAACGTCTGCTTTCCCGAGTACCGGGGTAACGGAGCGCCCGTCGGATAGTCCATGAGATGTTCTTTGGAAGCTTTCGTGCTTTGGAGGCTGAGAGCTACTTTGATATCTAGTCGTCGTCAAGCAGCCGTGTATTGTTCTGTGTGAGAAGATCGAGTCCGAGGTGGTGCATTTTATTGATGTTAGTAGTTCAGACGTCTAGCCAAAACGGGCGCGGGTGATGAGAATCTTTGCGGAAGCTCTTCAAGATCCCTTGGGATACTTTCGTCACTGTGCAGTCGTGTAGCCGTTCTCACATACTGATGAATCTATGATGATGTCTATGATAATCTATGAATCTATGATGAATCTAATCGCGCTCTGTGACGGTTCTTCAGAAGCGTTCATGTTTATGGCAAATGGACAGGATACATTTATCTAAGGTGGATTACATGTGACGTGAGTTTTTTAGGAATATGGGTCTGGCGGATTGCAGGCAAGTGCCTAATTGGTCATCTTTGCCATGTTGCGCATTGCGCTCCTAACAAACCAACTACATCACCGCATCTGCCTTTGTGCAATACTATTTTCCGTGTGCGCATCGTCTTATGTACAGTGATGCAGTACTCGGCACCCATGTGCGTGTTGCTGGCATGCTCTGCCAGCTCTGTCTGTTTGCCAGGCCAGAATGACTACGAGAGCTGCGCCGACTTCATTCTCCAGAAGTTCATGGCACTGAACCGACAGGACAAGAACGTGTACCCGTTCTTCACTTGCGCAACAGATACGGAAAACATCAAGGTTTGTCGAGCCAAGCGAGGAAGACCTGATACCACTACCGGTGACGTGTTTGCAGCCATTATTCACAAACAAACTAGCGACTCGAGATACATACACACATACACACGCACGCATATATATATATATATATATATATATATATATATATATATATATATATATATATGGTGATACCAGGTATCTATGGTTATTTGATATGACCGGCGATGGTTGCGGGGTCGACTTGAACTTTTCTAGGAAATGTTGCGGAGTCATTTGCACAAGTGGTCTTACCCTCAGATAAGGTGCCAACCGAAGGTTGTGTATGCCTTGAACGTGACATTTAGGCACACGGTTCCATTTCACCGGAAATCTTTGTTGGACATTTTTGGTTGAGCAAGACTTAGGTCGGACAGGACTACAGATTTGCAATGGTATCTTCCACGCATGCACAGTGCTATCCCACGGCCGCGCCGTGCCAGACCGACCATCTTTGGCCAGTTGTCCCTCCTTTGGCCCCTCTATTGCAATCGCTCAGTCGCGACAGGTCGCCAAATCGCTTTGTTGGTGACGGCACAATCTCCATTCCAGTCTTCACTAAACTAACAGATGAATGCGTTCTAGACATCTCCAACTAACATCTCCGGTTTAGACTTAGTTCGATGCGTTTGCCACCACCTCACTGTAGTGCTCGCGAGATGGCGCACCCGCCGCCATTTTGTTTGATCTTCTGCTTGATGTTTCATTTTCCGCCGTCTTCTGCTTCAGTACGTGTTCGCAGCCGCGAGCGATATCGTCATCTGCAAGCACCTGGCGGACTGCGGGCTCTGCTGAGAGCAACAGAGGCTCCGGTGATTGTTTCTGCGCGAACGCCCGTACCGACGGCTCGACGTGTCGTGTTTGGAGGCGGACAGACATGTGCTGAGCAAGGAGGGGCCAAGAACGAGTGCGGTTCAGTAGTGGTGTGCTGTAGTCAGCAGTGGTGCCAAGCGCAGGCTGCAAACAAGCGAAGCGCTCTCGAAGATGCTGAGTTTTTGTTTTTAAATACGTGATCTCTGGGTTCATCATACATTACACGAAATGAAATGCGGAATGCTTTATCAAATCAAAGCCAAAGCCGCCTCAGAAAACGAACAGTGGAACGGGCGCCCATTCCCCAATTTCGCTAAATCAGTGAATGCCGCTCGTGTTGGGCCCGCCTCAAAACGGATGCCTGGGCAACGAATGTGATGCTGCCATATTGTCCTAATGAACTGGTTGGATGTCGGATGTTTGTGTTTCCAAGGTACACATTGGATGCGCGGGGCTTGAATATGCCATACTATGCAGAGGCTGCGCAAGATGTTTATCAAATATGACGCCCGTTCGTAAAGATCTCATGTTGCGTTTTTGCGCAAAGGGAACGCTACGCACGTCATCACGGCTCTTAAATCAGGGAACGCCTGCGGTTGCATCGGCGATATGAGCACCCAGGGGTCGTGGCGCAACCGGGACCCGCACCCGGGCTGCCCACGTGGTAGACCGATGCACTAACTACTAGGCCATTACGTCCCCTCATGTTGCACCCTGTCTTGGCGATTATAAATATAGTAGAGATTGGTATGTTGTGCCTGTGTGGGTAGATGATTATAACCGGAGCATGAAAATGTGCCAACTAGCTTCAGAAACGCATGTCGTTCGTTCACATACTCACGAAGGTGGATAGTTACCGGCGGGTGTACTCATTCGTCGGGTTTCTGCAAATCATGTTTGTATCGACCTTAACTGGCTGCTCTATAGATTACCTAACTGTATGTGTTTGGTGTGCAGATCGTTCAAAGCGGGCCACTGAGGCCCCAAACCTTTTTTCGCCGCCGTGCGGCACTATAAACGCTGCTATCTATAAGGCCGGGGCTCAGGAGGATATTATTCGTAACAGAATGCACATTGAAATGAGAGAGAGAGCGGGGGCGTTGCGACTTGAGGTCCCCTGATCCCGTTTTGCCCATCGGTAACCGATAACTGCATTTAGACGTGCTGCTGTATGATTTTATTGGCATATGAACAGGCCTCAGTCGTCCCTGCACTACAGTTTTAAGGAAATTGCAAAGGTCAGCGCTTGGAAGTGACTTTGATCGGTTGATATGAAAAGTCATCGATATTTTTTCATCACGCCTTAATTCTGCCAATAAGATGCTTTATCAGGGTATTGTGATTTGGAACGAACCATTTTCAAGGAGACGTAATTGGTGCATATGTCCCTACGACACAAATGTTTGGTATCCGATAACTAACCAAGCATTAGATGCGCAGTGTACGACGACCAGCGAGTGACCATGTCCCATTTGCCCATCACACGCAAGGTTCAGCGATATGGACATAGTCGGGAGTTGTCGATTGTTTGAAACATGCGAATATCTGAATATCACGCCAAATTCTCTGACGTCCCTCGTATCGCCCATGGTTGTAAGGAGCTGCGGGAGTGTAAGTTTTCCAGATGACAGTGATTTGGGTTTCATCCTCATATTAAACTAAGCCACATCGCCTGTGCATATTGCTAGACCGCTCAAACATGGGAGAAGAAGCAGACTCAGCGATAACCTCCGTGCCCTGAAACCTCTAACTTCGTCAGTCAGACTGTATGGGACGGGAGAGCATGCCCGGACTAAGTCAGACTTGAACTTCCTGCATGCGCGTCCATAAATAGCTCCCGAGCTATGCTGTATACATGGGAGCAACGTGCAGTTGCGGATCGTTGTGGGGTCCAGACCTCATGAACTTTTAAACACATCGGCTCGTTTTGTTTTCGCCGCATAAAAGGACATGGAATCATGTCGGACTTGAATAGTATTGCGTGTGTGGTTCTGCTCCTGACTGGTCAGTGTCGTAAAGGAGTCAGGAGTTCGTGATGTTTCGGGGTGAGGAGTTCGTGATGTTTCGGGGTGAGGAGTTCGTGATGTTTCGGAATGAGGAGTTCGTGATGAACAAAATGAAAACGCTTTGGCAAAGCCATGAGCAGCAGCAAGGCTACTTCTTGTCCTTCGCGACAAGTGCCCGACAACGGCTGTTATAATGATAGTAGTCAGGCGGATTATTCCGATGCCTTTTTGGGCGCGAAGATGAAGGGTGGGCGTTGATGTACGAATTGGGCCCTTGGTGAAGGCGTTAGATGACTTTAGCAATAGTTGGAACAGCCGAAGTCAGTCTGGATGAGGTCAGGTGATTCCGCTCACTGGTTTTTGGTCACTGATATTGCAGTCATACGGACGTGGGACCGACAACCCGGAACAGCCCCCACTTTCATGTTTTTAAATGCCGCAAATACACTTTTCTGGAAGCATGTTTACAAACAATTGTGCACACTGATGGCCCAAAGCACAATCTGGCAAATCGAAGGGCTTTGATTTCCCCCTTTAACTGATATACAAATAAAAACGCAGTTTAACAAAGCCCAGTCTCTACCGTTCAAGGGTCATAGGACGAAGCAGGTGACCTCATCGACCATGCGGCGAGCGTCGGTCACCGTGTGATCCATCAGCCCCGGCACTCCTCCGGGAGAACTTCCCGCAACTTCTTGGTGATTACTGCCCAAAGTTGGCGTCCATGCTGAGCTTCACAGCTTTCCTCATACAATGGCCTTCAGGCGCTGCCAGCAGGGCTCATTGGGCGGGAAATGTGGGATTGCACAGGTGGGTTATCCCCAAGTGTGATTACCTGTATGTCGAGCATCCACGGCTCTACCAGGACGGGGTTCTCGTAATGTGTAATTGTCAGGCCTAGCCAGCATAACAAAGTCTTCTTGGTGTGACGGCTCGACTTTACACATCTGGATGCAGGAGGCGTTCTTTCTCGTAGGTTTCATTATGCACAGCGCTCCTTTAGGCCAACGAAGTTTTTATTTACTCTCGACCGCGACATGGCCACCAGGCGATGACCTTAAAGGGATTGCTCCACATTTGTATGAATTTTTGAACTAAGATCATCATTTCGAAGATTATTCAGTGCAGATCAAAGTCATGTACTTTTTAAGGCACAACCCCCCCCCCCCCCTTGTTTCCGAGCTTGATGCCTGCGAACGTGTGCAGATTTATGTGCAGAACGAGACATTTATGACACCATACACACGTCACACAAATACCGCCACTGTATGGATGATTTAGTGCTCAAGGTCAAGATCAAATATAATTATCGAATTGTTCGGGTCTGGCGTACGTGAGCACGATTCGTGGTATCAGCGGTCATCAGTTGGCCTCCGACGATTTTGATGTGTTCAGTGTAAGTTGCGAGCACAAATTATGTCTTGTGCTGTATAATACAGGACTGGGAATTTGTTGAGAATTTGCTACGCGCCATAACCGAGTATGTGAATGCAAGTTAATAATACAGAATCAGGGACAAATACACAAAAACATCACGACAAAGGGGTCAAAACAGGCGCATATAGCGATATTAGGGTTTCTCAAACACACGAGTCCCCTCTCGGCAGGTTGAAGCACTATAAATGAGTCACCCGTCCGCTACAGTGATAATTCTAAAATGGCTATTTGGCAGCGACTCCATTATCTTACAAACGCTCCATGACGCAATCAAGTCATGACTTACTGAGAAGCCTGATCTACTAAACCGTGGACTTGTACTGTTTAGAACAGGTGGTTGCACTCCAAAGCATACCAATAGTTACAAAAGAGTTGATTTCATCATATCTGAGATTTGACTCGATATATTCAAATGTTGAACATCCCCTTTAGGAAACGTCTTCCGCTGGTAACATACTTCCAGATTAGCTCTTTTGTGTCTGGTGTAGTGAGCCTTTTTGGTGTTTGTTTCTGGACAATCAAAGGAAAGTATCTTTCAACGTGCATCGCGATGTTCTTTTTCTCTTTACACTTCAGAAAACTAATCCTTAATTTCCAGCTTCTAGCCGGTTTTCAGCCTTGGTCCTGAGCTCCGATGGCACCAGATTCGCCATGGCAGGCAGACTCACGACTTCGATACCCGAGTGGGGCCTTGACTTGAGCACCCTGGAGATGTGCTGCTGGACCATTGGAAACTTGGCATCCTCAGGAGCCCATGAGTGACACATCTTCTTTGCCATAACATTTTGAAGGCATTTACACCTGTTAAAGGCAGTTGGTACTTTTGGGCCAGGTCGACGTTCCCAATTCGTTTTTGTTATTGAAACACATCATCTTGTTATTATGCTATGAACTGACTTACGACGTGCACACATTGCGGCAAGTTAGGTTATCTTAAAAGGTTTGTCTTTGGCCCAGTGCTTCTGATGCAATTGACCAATAACCCTGTTTAGTCTTTATCGGATAGTTATTCCTCCCAACTCCGACACCGTGATATCATTGTATAAAAATCATGCCATGGCTGCGTCCGAATGATCACTTTTCTTCGTTTCCAGTGGCTAGCAGCGATCTAGAAACAGCCATGAATATCGATTTGGGGAGCAGTTTTTGGAGGGTTGGTGACAGACATCAGACATGTTCTGACAGACAAAACATCCGCCTTGGGGATTGCAGAAGTAAGAAAGACCGCATGGTTGTTTATCGCAACGCATCGAAACTCAACGTGCCGCGTGACAAAACGCAGTTTGCCATACTGCAAAAGCACCATATAAACCTTAGGAGAGTAGGCTTAACTCACCTGTGTAGCCGTCATTAGCCTACCCTCAAACTATGGACTCTGAATGTTCATCCATCGTCATACCCTGGACCTGCGTTCAAAGACGATTTGTGTCCGACTGCACAAGTCGCTCCAGATAGCATCTTGACGCGCGCCCCGTGAGCTACGTCACACCCTGCTGTTGGTGCAGTAAAGAAGAGCCGAGTGCCAAAACGAGACCCACATGAGTCCACCACGCGTCAAAAAACTAGTTATTTAGGGGTCGCAGGCCAAGTGATGAAATAAAAAGCTGAAGCTAATTTTCATACGTGGGGCCTTGTCTAAAAGATGTCTTCCACGAGCACCCTGTTTTCCAATCGCAAGTGATATGTGATGGCTTCCAAAATGCGGACAACTGCGAAAAAAATGCCACCTTGCAAAATGCAAAGAATGGTTGAATATGCGTAAGCTGCTGATGTCAGAAATGGAGAAAAACCATCATTTCATAAGACTCAAATGCAAACGTTTGACAGACATGTTTCAGGACTATTGTTTCCCCCACAGTCCTTTCATTAAACTGCAACTGAGTGGTGATATGCCCGCTGGCGACAGCCAGCTACGTCGCTTCACTAACTACATATGACAGCAGCAGATCCCCCTATGACGCGCTATAGTGGTGCAACGTCGCTGCATTGCCATCTGATGACTTTCTAGCGTCGGACAGGTCCATAGAATGGTAGGGCTTGCAGAAAAGGGTCGGAAGTCATTACAGTGTCTCTCTGGATCGTACTGCTACCCAGGAGCCGGCGTCTGCAAACCAGCCGGTGGAAGAAGACGATTTGTTCTCTACACACTAGCCTCATACGCTGTCTGTGCTGAGAATGTATTGTGCCAATAGTTTGTACCGGTATCAGACAATAATCCAGGCTTGTGCTTGATTTCTCTGCAGCGGAATCGAGTCTGACTCCGACTCCATGCATGCGGCTGATTTTGACTCCGCCTCCGAGCAGAACGATGAACTGTTGAGCTGGCTCTGGTTTTGGTGACCGCGAGCGAAGGCAAGGCGTTTCATGAACGTCGTAGAAGCATGCATAAACACATATTTGCATGACAAGGGAGCGATTGCGCAGCGAAGGCGACGTAGCGCTTCATTTGTTGCAAATAAAAGCATGTCAAACTACGAATATTCGTTGCCAGTTATGTTTATACTTGAATGGATTCGCCATCCATTCCAGCCAACGCCGATGACTCAACTACAGCTGACATTTTTGAATGAGCGGAATCAGCTGCGGCTCAAAGTAATTTGCTCAATCCCCGGGGAAGAGACACTCAGCCGGAGGCCAACACAAGCCTGGATGACTCACGTGAGAACATCGGTCTTGCGCCGACAGTGTGGCGGCGGCTTTGAAGGCAGATCGTCGGAACGTGCAGGCACTTTCATGTTTGAACATATAAATAATATCACATAGAGGTAGAGTTAACGAATGAGGTAACGGTACAGATGCAAGAACCGACGCCGAATAAAGCTCTGCTGAGTTGGATAAACGGTGGGAAACGGCTCAGTGATGGAGGGAAAGTTAGCGCACAAACACCGACGAATGCTAAGCGATGCAGGTAGATATTACTTCGGGACAGATGTCTAAGAAGTCCTGTAAGTAGCTGTAACAACTGAATTCGCTCATAGTGCCGATATGCTAAATGAGTGCGATGCCGAGCTAAAGCGAACTTGCATCGTGACGGATATCATAACGTAACAAGAAGCTTTTGTCTGACGGTAGTGGTGAGAAAGACAGACACAACAGTACATTTGACAAGAGGTACGAAATGCTCGGTGCGTTGTGCCTATTGAGCCCCTTCACAAATACGCCAGGTCACAAGCTGACTCAACAAGGGTATGAACAGACACAGATCAAAGTGGATGGATAAGCACAATCTAGGTATGAATGAAGTAATTATCCAGAAAACGCCATCAATGAGCGTTTCCCAGGCTGAGATTGTCTTTACCTAGACGCAAAGGTGACGTAGAGTGCAAAAAGTTACCGCACCCGAATAATACTGTTTAGTACGACAAACTAGGCTCACCAAGCATGGACAGTCGACACTGAAAGGCAGCAGTAAAGGCCCCTCGCCTCGACAACACAAGCGTCAGTGCGAGATGAATGCACACCGAACCAGGATCAAGCACCACATGACACGTTCAAATGTTCTTCTGGGAGACGTCTGCTCCGCAGCCTACTGTGATGACGTCACAGGGGCTATCGTCGAATAGTGCCGGTAAGCTGTGGGTTCTTCGGCAGGGTCTTGCCGGACCCTAGCGGTGCAGCGGCTGACACAAGGTGTTCACGCCAGCGCACCGCGCCCAGCTCCAGTCCCAGTCAGTGAGCGACCTCCGGGTCGCGGAATAGTGCCGGTGACGTCACGGGGTCGATGGGGCGCGCGTGACGTCACAGGATGGAGCAGCAGCCCCAGCAGTACTTGTCGGGGTAGTCGGGCGCGTACACGCGGTTCTCGTAGCCGTAGACCCAGAAGCGGCCTGAGCGGGACTTGTGCGAGTAGCATACCTCGGCCACCGGCACCACGCGCACCTGGTGACGCTGCAGCCAGCAAGATGAGTCAGAGGCACACCGGCTGGTGTCGGGGCTATTTCAAATCGGAAGCTAAGTGTTTTTCCATCCCGCTGTTGGAGGGAAGGAAGCAAAGTAAAAGCCGCACATAACACGCTACTATTTGAGGAGCGCTTCATCTATGCGTGCTCGTGCTTGGGTCGCAAATCCTCGCTTATGCACACTCACGCACGCAAGCACACACACAGACACATTTCAGAGGTGTCATAATTCGTTTTACTGACCGGTGAGATATTCCCCCTTAGTTTTGGAAATCCTACAACAATTGCAGCAGACTGAACTGAAATGCTTGATGTTGCTTACAGCCTTCTTACACAAAGCACTCATCAACCTTCCTCAAGCGCCCAGCATCATCAAGCGTATCCACTCTTATACCAGACACAGTGCACGTCCCACTAACCTGCACCAGCACCCACTGGTCGCTGAACTGACATGCGCCAGCACCCGCTGGTTGCTGAACTAACCTGCACCAGCGCCCGCTGGTCGCTGCACTAACCTGCGCCAGCACCCGCTGGTCGCTGAACTGACCTGCGCCAGCACCCGCTGGTCGCTGAACTGACCTGCGCCAGCACCCGCCGGTCGCTGAACTGACCTGCGCCAGCACCCGCTGGTCGCTGCACTAACCTGCGCCAGCACCCGCTGGTCGCTGAACTAACTTGCGTCAGCGCCCGCTCGCCGCCCGCTGATCACTGAACTAATCTGCGCCAGCGCCCGCTGGTCGCTGAACTAACCTGCGCCAGCACCCGCTGTTCGCTGAACTTGTCGGCATGCTCCAGCATCAGCTGGGCGGAGGCCATGTTGATGGCGGCGTCTGGGTAGTGCGACAGTGGCGCCACCGCCGGCGCCTCCTCCTCTACGGCCACCTGGCCGCTGACCTCGCGTATCAGCTCCTCCGGCAGTGAGCTGCGCTGCACGATGTGCTCTGATGTGTTCACCTTCCTGGAAGGCGGCGGCAGAGCAGTGGGTTGATGGCGCCGTGCGGCCGTGGAGGGCTGTTGCGGGGTGGGGTGCAGCGGTTGATGGGTGTACTACTCGTGTGAGGGCGCAACGGCAGCGCGACAGCGTTAAAGTGATAGGTGTGTGCAGTTAAGTAGGAAGGATTTAGTTGGATTACAGTAGTAGTGTTAATGGCGGCGTTGGGGAGCGACGCAGCGGGTCAAAACCTGGGTGGCTCGGTGCTCGCGGAGGTTTCCGGTTGGCGTGTGGCCGATGTGAGAAGGGTGGTTCGGTCCATCTGTTACGGAAAGGTGCATCGATGTTCGCAATGGGGCATGTAGCTGCGTGAGGAGTTCGCCAGCCAAGCCCCAGAACAAAGGCAGCAGGTGATCTAAACAGGCAATTAATATATCCCATTTGTCATGCCTGAACACAGACAATGAATTACCGTACCTAGCCAAATGAATGCTTGCTTCAAACAGATGGATGAACCTCCAAACCACAGAATGAACGGCAAGATGTCATACGACATGCAAACATCTCACAAAGATGTACACAGCAGGAAGCAGCATCATCGTTCACCTGCCACATCCGTCACTAAACTCACGATGCAGATCAAGAAGTGGCAAATTCCGTGCGACGAATGATCTGGCCAATGCCCTTCAACATTGCATTGACAACGTTACCAGGTTCGAATGTAACGACGATCTCGCCGCAGCACCCGCTGCTCCGAGTCAGCCGGGCCGGCCAGCATTGACCAAAGATGGGTGAGCACCGACCAAGAGATGGTGAGCACTGACGAAGATATGGTGAGTACTGACCAGAAGATGGTGAGCACTGACCAGGAGACGCTGAGCACTGACTAAGAGATGGTGAGCACTGACCAGGAGATGGTGAGCCGGATGTAGCACCGCACTTGGCCGTAGCTGTCACAGGGCGGACACGCCACCCGACCCTTGGCGTTACACTTGAGGCAGTCCTGTTTTCCGTCCCCGTAGGCCGAGGCCTGGCAGTAGTAGCACCGCTCCCGGTACCCAGAGCTGTCTGCGCTCCAGCCGTTGCCATGGCAACTGAGGCATCGCGTCTGAAAGGGAGGTGGAAGTGAACCGTAGTCGAGGCCAGCATTGTCTATCAGTGAGCGGGGGCGAAGAGCGGGGAGGGGGTCGACGATTTAGAACGGGAGGCAAATATGAAGCAAGTTGGAGGATTAAACAGCCTGGGTGAAGATAAAAGAGCACAAGGCATGTCAATGATAGAAATCAACCGGGTTTATGGTGGAACAGGCAGGAAAACGCGCTAGTTTCCGTCGCGAAAGAAGCCCCATCACCACCACAATCTTGTTTCGGGGGATTTTGCAGGCAGACCGAGATCGTGGACGTGCTCAATCTGCTGACGGTGACAGAATCGACGACCAAGTAGGTCGTCGATTGACCGTTGACCCTGTTCGACCACCCGGCACGCGCCATCATCGGTGCCGACGTCGGCAGGCGGTCGTGCTGGCTCGTACCCATCCTTTGCCGTGGCACTCGGCGCAGCTCAGACTGCCCTGGCCCTTGCAACGGTGACAGTCCTTGGCCGAGGCCGTGTGCGGAACCTCCACCACCTTCACCTCGTCATGGAACAACTGGCCTGAAACGTCAGAAGTGTCGGCTCACCGGACATCGCGTGGTGCGTTGTCGGGACGTGCAGCCGCCAGTGTACTGGATTGCCAACGGACAGCGTTGCTAGAGGCATTGCTACCTTGGGGAGTTGTAAGGAAATGGTCTCAAAAAGTAAGAGTCAGCAGAAATGACGGCCTCGTGGCGGACATCGGTCATTCTAACACGTAACGGGCAGTGGACCACAGGGCAGTTGCAGTAACGGGGTACACACTGCGGGAGCGCAGTGGAGCCTGAAACAGTTACACTGTCAGCAACAAGTGAGCTAGGACCCAGCAGTAAACATAACCTTATAAAAGGAGAGGCCGCGAATGTCCCACCCGGTTAGCTTTGGAACCAGGTTTCACTTCCAAACTGGAAACATTTATATTTCACACGCACGCCATTCCATCAAAGTCCTCCTTTCAGATTCCGACCTGCCTTGATTTAGCTTCACGCTGTTCTGACCTCGTCTGACCTGGCTTCCCATGCGCCTTAACCTGCCCTGACCTGGCTCCTGAGGGCGCGCTCTGACCTGGCTGGGCGGGCACGCTCCACGGCTCGGGCGCCACTCTCCGCTGCCCGGGCCGTCCACCTCCCCGCCAGAGTAAGGCACGAACGTCCACGACGTCTCCCGCTTCTCCGTGAACGTCTGCAGCTCGTACTGAAAGGCGCCACGCTCGGGGTGACCGGCGCGGCCGGCTACGCTGGGCACTTCAGAGCGGACCAGCCGGACTCGTGTCCTGCTCATGATTACCACTGGCCTCGTTACGACGGCAGAAAAGCCACAGAAGAAACGCTCATGACGTACACACGTCGTAATAAACATATGATAGGACAAATATGAAAAAGGCGGAACGCCAGCGCGCTAGTACACACCTTTGTGCATGGCTTATAAACTTAATGGCGCAGAGTGGCAAGACAACAGGATTTAAACCGTACTGACGGCGTGGTGGTGTGTTGAATATAACATTACTTGTGAGCACATTCCAGGAAACTGTAGAGACGTGGGCAAGGCAGTTCGATGGATTATAATTTATATTAAGTGATAAAACCAAAGTGAGCTCGGACATATGCGTAATTTAAAGATGCCAGATTAGTCACCACAGGTGCATCAACAGCATGAGAGAAATGCAATCTGTTTCAGACGTACACAGCTAAGTTACAAACTGGGTAAACCGAGAAAACACCAGGCGAGACATTCTTCTCGTACCAGAGAAAGAACGCGACTACACGTGAACAGTCGATGTAAAATCCAAGGACAATGCGCATTTCTCTACGCTAATATTCAAACTCGTAGATCCCCAGCATCATTCACAAATCGGAGGTCACGTAACCGTGGGACGTACGTAGGTTTTCGCGAGAAACGATAAAACTAAGACGCATTTACCAAAAACACTGCAGCGCACCACAAGCACGCTAAATTTGTGGCAGGGCGTAACAAACATGACATATGCGCCAATCACACATGGCATGTCAGTATTTTTATTTGTATGGATCTAGCTCCATCTAATTGTCTAGTGTCTGTAAGAGTGCATAATAATGAATGCATGTAAAAATTTGATAGCGGGGCATGTGCATTCTATGAACCCCTTGAATAACCACCCTGAGAATGATCACATTTAGGGGTATCTAGGTGATCCGACATGATAAAGGCAGTCGGTGTTTAGTTCGCTAGATAAGCTGCGAATGTGTGGTCTGAACAGGGAAAATTATTAAGTTGTTAGGTGCGTTTGAGAGGTACAAACCATTCACAGAGATAAGACAGTAGTAATAGGCTTATTCCTCGGCGAAAAGCAGGAATTGGCCCCATTTCATTTATATATTCTCCTGGTCTTTATCCGAGGAATAAGGCTATTGTTACTGTCTTATCTAAATGGCGAAAATGGTTAAACGTCCCCTCCAAATTGTTCGAAAAAAGATCTTCCTCTACTCAGCGTCATGCCAAGCGCCAGAGCTGCACCGATTAATCGCTGCCTTCCCGTTTGCTGTACCGCTGTAGGACCACAACGCTCACCAGCGCTCTGCGCTTATAAATTAATGAGGCAGACCGGAACCCATCAGTACGCTTAGAAGGTTCATCACTGATGCATTTATCGTTTCCAAACATCGACCGCCCGGTTTCATGCACGCGCCACGGAGCACACTTATCCACGTCCGAGTCTGCATGCGGCGGTTTCAACGGCTGGTGATAAGGAGGGCCATGTCCTCACGTGGTGGGCGGAGGTGTAGTTGATTTTGGTCATGCTCATGTGGCGGGGCGGCCGCCCGGCCGTAGCAGCAGTGGTCGGTCACGTGAGCAGAGGAGGGCGGCGCGCGCCTGCTGCTCGCTGATCTCGGCGCCCACGTGCACGGGGTCCGCGTGGCGGCGCGGTGCTCGGCTCAGCCCATGTCGCCTGCCGGCGGCGGCGGCGGCACGCACACTGCGCCGCCGAGTCAAAGGTCAGAGCCAGGGGGTCGGGGGGTCGGGCGCGGGGCAGCCGCCAGCCTAGGTCAGTGCCGGTCAGAGGCGTCTAATTGGGGGGGGGATGAAGTCTCGCAGAAATGGTGATCTTGAACAAAACAGTCGCAGACATATCGATATGACCTTGCGTGGACGCACCAGGGAAACGATGAACGCAACATTTTCTACGCAAAATTCGAAAACGCAGATGTGCGTTGAGTATGCAAGTTGTGCGAGCCAGTTTACTGCCGGAGCACTCGCCGAGAGACCAAGGATTGTGTAGTGTGGGTGTGGTAACGAGAGTGTCATGAGACAACGTGGATACGAGAACAAAATCACCTGCTGGGCTCAGAGTCATGCGGACGGGTGAAACATGATACGAATAAACTAGTGGGAGTGTTATACATATAATCAATACCTCGTATATTCCATGTGATACCTGGAAAACAGCGTTCGTAAAACATTGCGAAGCAGCGACTAGCCCGAGAAGAGGATGAGCGCACATCAGTAGGTATTATGCTGTCAGGTACATCGAAGAACCGCACAAAGCACATCAATAATCGGTGCGTAAATGTTTAGCTGAAGCAGAAATCTTAGCGGATATACCTCCAATAAAAAACGTATTTTCACGGTTCGAGAAAAATGTGGCATGCACCAATGCATTAAAGAGTATCCAAAAGTTGACATCGTCACCAAATATTGCAATAGCGTGAGACGCTTTTTAAAAATTTATTTGGAGGTCTGACCAAAGTGACTGTAAATGTAACGGTGGTCGCTGTCAGAGGCATGTAACAAAACATTGCACGGACTGTACGACGCTTCCGTATACCTGGTCCGTCGTTGGTTGAACAGGTTGGTGTGGAAAGACGGTGGACCGCCTGATGTCATCAAGTGGCATGCCGAGCTATGCATCTTTGCGTCTTTAAGCCCACCGCATCAACCGGCAGCCAAAGGCAACCATACGTCTGGAGCTCCATCGAGGAGCGAGGTTAGTCCAAGCGACTTGCAGTACACAAAAGTCTTGGGCGACTGGCGCAAGTGTGGCTGATGTCTACTCGGGTGAGGAAGTACCCGCTGATGCCCGCGGCCAACAGGAGCGGCTTACCGGCATCGAACCCGAGCGCCTCGTAGCCGGGCACCGAGTCCAGCACGTCCAGGGGTGGCGCCGTCGGCACAGCCTCATCCTCGCCGTCAAAGTTGGTGTGCGCTGAAACATGGCGAGGCGTTGAAACGCAGGGGAGCTGATGTTGCGGTGCGGCGCTCGAATGTGGTGAGGTAGAGAAGCGGAAACACACTTGACAGCTGAACGCAATGCACGAATACCCGTTGAGACAACCAAGCGCGGTTAAGCGCTGAAACACGATAAGAAGCTGGAATTTGGCAGGCTGCCAAAGCGTTGCGGTATGCTTCAACGTGCTGCGTCGCCGAATATGGCGCGGTGCTGCAACACGGTGGTGAGGGACATTGGACATAGTGCGGTGCCGAGACAATGAAATGTAGTGAGAAACTGAGACCCTGGAGGGGTGCTGAAACACGATGGGAAGAGTCTGGCCTAACATGAGTGAGCTGAATACGGTATATTGGCAAGCATATTGCTAACTTTGCGATAAGTTGACGCCTGATGGTCCAACCACGCAGCTCATCCCAACAACGAAGTATTGGGCCGCATTATGATTACCGCCATATTATGATTAGGCCACATCATGATGAGCAGCACAGCCAAGCACAGTAGCATATTGCACCATTCACATGACATTGTCGGCTTTGCCGCAGAATATAACGTAATATAAAGCATGTAAATCAGAGGCGTGGTCCAGCTTACGAACTTTTCTGCTGCGGTGACACGAAGAACGCACTTCGAGAGGAGAATGTATCGCACTGCTTAGACTGATGAGTGAAATCTTCCCAACACATGTCACCACTCATTGCCGACGTTCCATGCCAAAAGAGTCGTTTCAATGCTCTCACACGGGACGCAAGGCTTAGTTAAATCTAAGCGCGCGATTGTTTCAGCTCATTGCACATGCGCCGAAACGCAGATATCAAAACAGGCAAACTCAACACGATAGCTCGATACACACAGCGTTGATCGCCCACAGCGTGTTTAGAGTCGCCCAGTCCGCCCTCGAGATGCTTGGAGCGCCACGAGTCCACTGCTGCTGCTAGAGTTGTTAACAGGCGGTTGCAAAGTAACCGTGGTTGCAATATAAGCGCTCGCGCTTGATTGGTTTTTGGTACTTTGAATCATGTCGTGCCGACCAATCACAGGTTTACCATGCCAGTATGCGCAACAGACAGTCCTGAGAGAGGCTTCTTCAATCAAAAGCACAGCAGCAGAACTATCATTGGCATCACGAAAGATCTGTCCCTTTTTGCGCATCGATGCTATTCATGACCGCCTTAACCACTTTTAGTGTTTTATCTAGGCTCAGGCTCTCACAATAAAAGTTTTTTATTCTAAAACTGGTGCAAAACATCATGACAGCTACAGAAATGTCTTCGATCCGGGGCTCCATCACAGAAACAGCGGGGTTCTGAACTAATCTTGTTTTTGTGGCCTTCAGGTCTGGATCTGAGCCTGTCCAATTTCAGGCTGCATTTTAGTGGCTCGGATTCCTGATTGCTCAATGTTTTGCGTGATTTAAAACAGACGCGCAACATAAAAACGATAAAACACCGTTTACTGTAATAGTGTTTTCCAACGAAGGTCTCTCTGAAGTTTGCCTCGGGATGCAGTTCGCAGTCCCACCAGAGTGGGTCTCGAAGGAAAGGCGACGTTCGGCGATGCCCGCAGGACGTTGGTGCAGTGCTGTGCGCGCGAGATGCCATCGCTGCAAGTGCGTAATAAACCCGACAGACAGAGGACACCCCAGCTGTGAGCGCGTTCGAGCACCAATGCGATGTGCACCAACAGGAGGATGTGCGGTGACAGCGCGGTGAATAACGTGGGTGCGATTGGTGAATGATATGGTTGGTGACCGCGTGAGGCGGCAAAACATCGGTCTCAAGCATGCCGCATAAGTACTCAGCGGCCCGTCAGCCTTCTGCTCCCAAATCGTGCTTCTGTACTTCCAAGTGTGTCTCTTCGCGTCCCGTTTGCAGTAAGCTGAAATTTTTACCTTGGCATTACATGATGATCAATGGTAGTGTAGTCAATGGTCAGCATGCTTGTCACAACTGTTCCTAGGCACCATGCATACTCATTGATATATCAAAATACTGCTCAAATCACAAATGGTAGCATCAACATACAGCTTCACAAAAACCGACGACTCAGCTGCCCATGTTTACCCAGAATGCGTGTGGATTTACGTAAGGATCTGTATTTACCCAACCGCAGGATTTCGTTTTTTGTGTGTACAATTGGCTAATGTTTAGGGGCCGGCGGGGTAAGTCTACATAGTATACCAAGTTGGTAGCACTGAAAACCGTGCCATAGTTTATGGCCGAGTACTATATTTGGACGACAACGGCGTGGCTGCAGTGACGAATCAGGTTGGATTAGCACGTGGCTCTGTCCGCAGATGATTAGGTAAGACTGAAATTAGCATTGAGTTAGAACATTAGCATGAGGCATTAGCACATATGCGTTAGCTTTCCAGGCCACTTTATATTCACTTGTTCGGTTGGTAGAGCACTGGAATATGATATGGCTGCCCTTGTAGCATAAGAGCAGTTTTATTTGCAGCGTACGTCCGTCAGAGTAAACAACTGTAGTGTCGCAATGATAACTGACGCGAATACCACACATGTAATATTCACATGTTTCGATGTAATATCTATCCATTTATCTATCTAAGATTCATGACGCGCTTAGAAACGTGTGTAGCAGTCAGAAACCTTTCCTGGCTTTCCCGGCGAACCTGTAAAATGTGGAACATGTCATACCCATTTACGTTCATATTACCTGTCACATTCGGACATTATACGCAGGTCCTCTTGCTCAGCGGCGTAACCAGGAGTTCGCTCAGGAGGGGCCAAATCGGGCTTAGGGGTTTACTTTCAGTTGTGGGTGACGTTTCACCAATGGGGACCTATTTTGTCGCAAAAGAGTTCCTTTCTTGGATCTGGAGAACCTTTCATGCTTGAGATCCCATATAGATGTCCCGAGGGACTACTTTTGTATGTTTTTCGTCGCCATACGGCTTAGGCTGCGTCTTATTAGGCTGCGTCTTACATATGCGTCTTGTGGCGTCTTAGGCTGCCACAAGTGCCGCTTAACCGGCCGTTTCGCCAACCGTTTAAGCCGCCATTGGGCCCCGGCAGGCCTAAGGAGGTCTTCTCTACCTGTTACTTCTGCTTCTACTTCTAGGAGGAGGGAGGGCATGGTCCCAAAAGCCCCTTGGCTACGCCACTGTTTTCCCCTTCTCTGAATTATTGCCGCCACAGTGTGTGTAACCACGTCTCTGAGATTGGAGAAGGGGTAAATCAGAGTTGGAGGGGGAGGTTGAACTGAAATCTGGAGGGAACGACTTGAAAAATGCATTTTGAATGCAGAACAATTAAAAACGTGCACTCTATGGACAACATTGGAGGAGACAAAATCGCGCTTCGTAAAAATTAGAGGGGACATGCCCCTCCTCCCGTGGTTTCTCCCATGGCCGTCGCTGCTCACGGGGCGCAGCAGAACTGCCATTCGGTCCGCACCTGGTCCATTTCTGAGCCGGGCACCCACCGCCAGAGCGGCACCCGGCGATCGCGTGCGTGTCGATAGCTGGGGCGGAAGCGGCAGCTCCTAACGAGCCAGCGACGACATGGTTGCGATTGAAGCTGGCGCCGGCCTGACGCGGCGCTGCACGCTGGCGCCGGCCTGACGCGGCGCTGCACGCCGGCGCGGCCTGACGCGGCGCCTGCACGCTGGGCCGGCCTGACGCGGCCGCTGCACGCTGGCGCCGGCCTGACGCGGACGCTGCACGCCGGCGCCGGCCTGACGCGGCGCTGCACGCCGGCGCCAACCGCACCAGCTCAGCGGTGGAGCCCTCGTGTGACGGAGAGCACAACATTCTGACGGCAAGTACGGGCTGCAGGACGGATGAACAGCGGCTCTTCTGAACGCCTTACAGCAAACGCTCGCTGCATTCCGGCCGCGGGCGTGTTTAGGTAGGTCATTAGCACTTGGTATGCGTGTATTTGACGAGCTGGACACTCAAGGCCCAATCAGCCGTTGCTGAGCCAGATTGACTAAGGGACAGCCGCCGGGAAACCATTGGCTCCCACAAACATCATAGGCGGCAATGCCACCCTCACAGGCAGAAGCCCCAAGCAGCGTCCTCTGAAGGTTCCTCCCGCGTCCCGCAGCGAGCAATATTAGGCCAGCAGCATTGTGAGGGATGCTGGAAATGCATCAACACCACCCCGGTCATAGGGGCGTCACGCTTTAACGCCATCGCGGTGGCGTGGAAGGCGCATGGCGGACGGTGCTTGGTCCACTATACGTCAGAGTTCCATTAATGGGCGCCCTACGGCGGGATATTGGCGGTGGAGAGCGAGCTCCTCCCTCTGGCAAGCTGCGGGGAGCAAGCGGAGCAGCCTATGCGAAGCCCACCACGCACAGTGGAGAAGATCAGGTGGGCATCAGTATCATCATATTGAAAACCATCTGCATGGTGGCTGTTATGGTCTCAGATCAAGGCCATTTTCATGTTGCATATATGTGCAGTGAAAATAGGTGGGCACAGCAGGTATACAATAAAATGATATGGGCAATGGTGAAATCAAATTATACGAACAATGGTCAAAGAGCTGAAAACAGATATATCAATGGACTATTGGCAGCGGTCAAAGGTCAGTGGTAAAGAAAATTACATCACATGTGACGGTCTTAAACGTGCTCAATGTTGTGGCTTCACACGTAGGATGGTAGGCGTTTCCAGGCAGCTGCGGCTCGATGCGAAAACGCCGTCTGCGTGGCATTCAATCGGTGTCCACGCAGGAACAGACCACCTCTTTTGAGGCGCGTTTTACGGGTGGAAACAGCGGCGCGTGGCACAAAAAAGCGCGCGGACCTCGTGAGGCGCGCCTCCTCCTTCAGCGCCCTAAACACTCTGATCACGTCGCGGCGCGCCGCCATGACATCGATCCTCGGCCATTCAAGGGAATTTAGGGCAGGAGTTGCACGATGACGCTTTTTGGAGCCGGTAATTATTCTTGCAGCAAAGTTGATTGCTTTTGAACTTTGTGTAATTGGCTCTTGGTCGCCCCACCCCACACGCACAGGTGGCACATGATATAAGGGAAACACATACGCCTGGATGATGATGTTGAGAAGATCAGAAATAAGGTAAATGACGGAATTTGTCCCAGAGAATTGAGAATGGCATTGCATTTTTTCACGGCTATCGAGGCATTGGCGCCCTTTGCCAGGCCAAAGGAAGACAAACTATGACGCCAGAAATTTAATGCCACTTGAGGCATGCATAGTCGAACTGTTTACTTCAAAGTGAAAGTCAGCTGACTTTTTTAGATTTTGCCTTGACCCAACGAGCATAAAAGCATTTTTTGTTTTGTTCATTTGTAGAAAGTTGGGACTGAACCATCTCTTAAGCTCACGCATGGTAAGTTTCAGTCTGGTTTTGAGGTCGGCGAGACCCGGTCCAGTCAAGGGTGGGGGGTGGGGGGGGGGGGGGTGGCGACGTGCGTAGTGCCGTCAGCGTAGGAGATGATGCGGCCATGAGTCAAGTACTCATACAAATTGTTGGTAAGCAAAATGAACAAAATTGGACCGATGATCGAGCCTTGGGATACACCTCACGAAATGAGAAGGGTGAGCCGCTCCTCCACGCACCATCTGTACTCGGCCACTTAAATAACTCCTGGAACCATCCCACATCGGTAAACGCCATACCAAGGCAGCTTGGTGAGGAGGACGTCGTGATCGACCTATCGAACGCCTCTGACAAATCGATTGTCGTTACCGACGATATCAGACCGCCGTCAGCGTTGGTGACCAGGCGTTCGCTGCGGCGTGCACAGCGGTCCTCGGTCGAGTGGCGTGGCCTATAGACATACTGGATGGATGCAGCAAGCGCTGTCGCATTCAAATACTCCGTTAGCTGTGTGCAAGCTAACCTTTTCTAAGAATCGTAGAGAGCACACTGAGGTATATATATGGGCCTATTATGGGCGGTGCACTGGGTGGAGTCCGATGGTGCAGTCGCAGCACCTCGTGCGTATGCGGGAAACTATGAAATGATGACTGTCTCCATCAGTGAATGAATGAACCCCTTACACACAGCCTTTGATATATGCTTATAAGACAAAAACTGACGTTTCAAATCAAGAGGTATATATTGACCTTTGACCTTTGATAATGCTTAGAAGACAAAAACACTTACGTTCAAGCAAGAGGTAAAACTTCACCAGACAATTCGCACATCAGACATTTGTGCAAAATGCAAACAAGATATGTGCGTAAAATCCGCTCGAGCACGTTTCCAGGAACAGAAGCTTTCCAACATCTGTTTTTGAAAACGTTCTCCAAATTATTTTCTTCTGGAGACGTGTTTCAAATAATGGAGGTTACGGTAACCTCCACAAAGAGCTCGGCGCGATTTCAAACAGCAAAGTCCAGTTAAGCGTACAAGAAGTTTATCACCCGCGTACCTCCTCTTTGAGACGCAGCAGTGATGTGCATGGGCTGGGAACCGCAAATAAAGCGAGTAATCAAATGTCAAGATCCGTTCTCATCTGTTCTTTTAAAAACATTGATTTTGAAAGTTTTCACGTTTACAGAGCCCGTGTGCACCTATCATGAGCAAATTAAGCGAGAATATGGTAAGTGACAACACGAAATGCATTTAGTTTACACATTTGCAGCACACAAAGGACAAACAGTCAGGTAAAATGAAACGGACTAGTTGTGTCACCCACGCAGACACGTACGCACATATACACGCAGCGTATGCACACACGCACGCACACACACACAACGGATCGCCACACACACACACACACACACATGCACATCGCCCTGCACTCATACCACTTCGCCCAGTCGCACAACAATCCCCGACCTCGAGCGAGCGCTAGCGCGCGTGTGGGGGGGGGGGCTGCCTGCCGCCCTCGCAGTGCTCCTAATCTCAACCGCCTCGACGAGCAGTAGCCAAA